TGGAGATATCCCAGCCCCGGCTGGACGCGGTGCTGTGCAGCCTGCTCTGGGTGACCCTGCTTGGGCAGGGGGTTGGGCTGGGGGATCTCCAGAGGGCCCTGCCAACCCCTGGGATTCTGGGATTCTGTGAGCTGGGGTGAAGCCGCGGCTCTGTGCAGCAACCCGCTCCCCCGGCAGCAACTGGATGCCAGCAGAGCAGTGCCGCGGGCCCCAGCATTCCTTCCTCGCTTCCTCTTCCTCCTCCTCAATGCAGGGGCTCCCCTCTGTCCCCACAGTGCTCCCGAGCCTGCTCCCAGCGCTGCCTGAGCCTGCTCCAGCCTGGAGCTGTGCTTTGCCCTGGCTGAGGTGTCTGTGGGTGCTGTGGGTCCCTGCCCAGGAGCGAGGGGCTTTGCCATCCCCGCTCCCTGCCCGCACCGGCGAACTTCAGCACTGACCTAGACTCCCTTTTTTTCCCCCTTTTCACCAATTCTCCCTTAGTTTGTCCTTCCTGGTCATTTCTTGGAGTGTTTTCCTGTTCCTCTTTACAAAAAACCCCTCGCTTGGAGCAGCCTGGCGATGTCTGTCATGGGGAGAGCCCCAAACTCTGCCGAAGGATGCTGCCGTGAGTGAGGAAGAGGAGCAGAGCTGTGGTAGCAGCGGCCCTCGTTAGGCGAAAGTGTGATGAGCTGGTAGCCCTTCGCAGTGCAGCACAGCATCCCATTAGCCGTCGCAATACCTCCTTGGCAAAGGAAAAATGCTCCTTCTCAGGCTCTGCCCGCGTGGGACAGGTCTCCGTCGCAGATCCTCATGTTGAAATGCTGATGCGTGAGAGCGGTGCGTAAAATTGCTCGCAGCTAATGTGTATCTTTTTCTTTTCTTTTGCAGGAACGCCAAGGCCGTGTCAAGTAAAAGGCCACTTCTCCCACAGAGACTGCAGCAGAGATCGCATCCTGGTTATCTTTCGGAGAGAAAGAGGGAGCAAAAGTATCCCGGAGAGAATTAGGACTGTTGTTTTTTTTTTTCTTAATTTCATTGACTTCAAAAAGACTCTTACAAACTTGCAGTTGGAAAAAAAAGAAAAAAAAGTATTGGAATTTCACAAGACATAGGACTTAAAAAACAAAACAAAAAAAACCCCAAAAAAAGTCCCTTCTAGGTAGAGTATAGGTAAAAACTGTCCCCTTTCTTTTGGCTTTGGTTGTGATTTCAGAGCATACGCTTTGTTTTTTGTCTTTCTACTATTTTTTTGTGGATTTTGAAGTCCGTAAGCGGCATATGCCTTTTTTTCTCTAGTTTTTAAACCCCACTGCTTCCCCTCCTTCCATGCCCTCGCGCCTCCTTCCCCTGGTTTTGACATTTGCACTTGGAACACCGAGCTGTAACATCCACTGCCGAAAGTGGAGTAACTTTTTTTTTTTTTTTTCCTCTCTCCCCACACCCCGGCCTGGAAGAGGAGGAATTCGACGAGAAAGTTGGGGTTTTGACCTAAGACGAATTGAACAGAAATTGTCCACGAGGTTGTGTCTTAAAGGTGGTTCATTTTTCTCTGACCCTTTGTTACTCAAAAGTCAAGTACTAGGAGTCCTAAGAAATGTTCTGTTCTTGTGCGTTATACAGATTTACAGATTAAGTCTGGATTAATTTGATTTTTGAAAGCTGAGAACAGTGGTAAAAACTTGTTTTGTTTACAGGAAGATGAATTTTGGACAAAAAAAAAAAAAGAAATATTGTAAAACGTGTAGTGAATATGTTTCTTCAATTTCTTGCTAAGCCAATGAGGAATGGGCGTTGCCTTTCTTTTCACCATTAATCACTTCTCAGTAATAAACGTGAGATCCCGTTGAGCATCACTGTTGTCTGCTGCTCCCTTCCAGCACTGCCCACTCCGGCGTAGCGAGGCGGTGCGCTCCCAGTTGTAGATTCTCCTTCTCTGGAGATATTCAAGCCCCGCCTGGACGCGGAGCTGTGCAGCCTGCTCTGGGTGACCCTGCTTGGGCAGGGGGTTGGGCTGGGTGACCCACAGAGGGCCCTGCCAACCCTGACCATCCTGTCATTCTGTGACTGGGGGCTTCGCTGTGCTGTTGATGCCTTAAAACACCAAGCGCGGTGTGGTTTCTCCCTGGGTTCGCAGCAGGGGGCTGCGCCCCGAGCTCAGTCCTGGCCCCCAAAACCCCAAGAGAGCCCCCAGGACACCAAGAGAGCCCCCATGACGCCAGCAAAGCCCCCAGGACCTTAACAGAGCTTGCAGGACACCAGCAAAGCCCCTGGGACCACAACAGAGCCCCCAGGACCGCAGCGAAGCCCCCAGAAACACAGCAGAACCCCCAGGACCCCAGCGAAGCCCGCCAGGACCCCAACAGATCACCCAGAACACCAACAGAGCTTCCAGGACACCAGAGAAGCCCCCAGGACCCCAACAGAGCCCCCATAACCCCGACAGAGACCCCAGAACCTCAGCAAAGCCCCCAGGATCTTAGCAGAGACCTCAGGACCCGAACAGAGCCCCCAGGAGCCAAGCGAAGACCCCAGGACCCCAGCGCAGCCCCCAGCACCCCAACGGAGCCCCCAGGACCCCAACCGAGCCCCCAGGATCCCAACAAACACCCCAGAACCCAAACAGAGCCCCCAGGACCCCAGAGAAGCCCCCAGGACCCCAACAGAGACCCCAGGACCTCAGCGAAGCTCCCAGGATCTTAGCAGAGACCTCAGGACCCCAACAGAGCCCCCAGGACCCGAACAGAGCCCCCAGGAGCCCAGCGAAGACCCCAGGACCCCAGCGAAGACCCCAGCACCCCAGCGCAGCCCCCAGGACCCCAACAGAGCCCCCAGGACCCCAGCGAAGCCC